GAAGTGTCAAGACAAGGTGCCAGCAGTGCAGAAAGGGGTTCCTTGGGCATCGCTTAAATCCAGCAAAGGGACCCATGGAAATGGGGGACCTGGCCCAGGCCTGGATGTCTGCCCCAAGGACAGAAGCCCATGGGGAGTCAATCTCAGGGTACCAGAGAGCAGAACACCCATAATGAGAGGCTGTATATCAACCACCGGGTGCTGAGGCTCAAGCCCAGGGCCTGTGAGTCACATCCCCAGCCCCTTGACCAGGGCGCGGGAAGCAGCYCTGGCTCCTCCCCGGCAGCCCAACGTCTGGCTGCTTTCCATCCTGGGACATGCTGCAGAGGTGACCTTGGTCTGAAGCAAGTCCAGCGTGGCTTCAGGCTGTCTGAAAGCCACTGACCTCGCAGTCTGCAGAGGGGGAAACTGAGCCTGGAGAGAGCAACGCCTCCCACCCCCACGGAGTCAGCCGTGTCCAGTCTGAACTGCAAGGCTGGGCTTGGGTCGCAGCCCTCTTCTGTCACTGAGCATCAGACCGGGGCCAGGCCCTCCACTGCGGGCCACAGTCCTGCTGGGACTCGGCCGGCCGGGCACTGTTCTGTGCTTTGGACCCCCCACCCTGGCAGGTGAACAGGGGAACCAGCCCGACTAGTTACAGTTCTGTGGGGCCCAACGGGCGGAGGGCRGGCTCTTCTCTAGAAACTGTCAACAAGTCCCCTCCCCGTGGGTGGCCGGTGAGGTCTCTCTGCAGTGACTAAAGTCACTCACCCCTGGGAGAAGCAGGTTTCTCAGAGGGAGTGTCCTAGGGAACTCTAGGGACACTCTCTGTCAAACCCCATATAATTGATCTTTTATTACACACTCAGCACCGGCTGCCAAAGGCTCTTCAGTGTGAACGAATTACATTGTTTCAGAGCCCGGAAGTAGGCTTTATTAGGAAGCCAGGTCACAGAGGACAGGGAGGGCAGCGGGGCGGGATAGGGCCGGGTTTCCACCCTACACACTAACTTGGGTCCCTGCTTACAAGTTTTTTCATGATGACATAATTTCAGATTTAAAGAAAAATTGAAAGTATAATAGAGCATTTTTAGATGCTCTTGGCCCAGACGCCTCAAAGTACCCTTAAAATCCCCCCTGGTGTCTACGGTGGGGGGCTCAGCAGCAGCAGCTCATTTCCCTGAAGCTCTGAGCTTCAAGGTATAAGTGTGGCTGGTTTCTTCTCTCTCCCTGGTTGACTGATGACCACCTTCTGGCTGTGTCCTCATGAGGCCTCTCTCTGCGTGGGCAGCCTAGACATCTGGGTGTCCAGACTCTGTCTTCTAATAAGGAGACCAGCTTGACGGGATTAGGATCGCCCTTTCACCTCCTTAAAAACCTGACATCCGCCAGTCGTGGTGGCGTGTGCCTGTAATCCCAGCAGCTCAGGAGGCTGAGGCCGGAGGATTACCAGTTCAAAGCCAGCCTCAAAGCAACTGTGTCTAAACTAAGACCCTGTCTCTAAATAAAATATAAAAACAGGCTGGGGATGTGGCTCAGTGGCAGGGTATTTGAGTTCAATCCCTGGTACCTGCCCCACTCCCCCCAAAAACCCTAACATCCAAGTATAGTCACATGCTGAAGCACAGGGGCGGGGGGGGGGGTGTAGAACTTTAACAGATAAATTTGGGGTGACACAATTCCATCCATAATAGTATCTCCATTTGTTTTTTCCTGAACCATTTCGGAGTAAAATGCAGAATGAGGCCTCTTTGCCCCTAAATATTCCGGTGCGTAACTTCCTGAAATCAAGAACATTCTCCGACACTGCCATCATTTTTTCTTACTTTTCCCTTCTACATTGCCATAGAGCCATCATCAAAACAAGGAAATTGACATCCATAAAATGCCATCACCTAACTGCAAACCACAGACCCCCTGGTCCCATTACTGGTGAAAAAGAARTGTTTTTGTGCTGGGATGGGACTCAGGGGTGCTCCACCACTGAGCTGCAGCTCCAGCCCTTTTTAATTTTTTTTTAAATTTATTTTGAGACAGGGTCTTGCTGATTATTGAGACTGGCCTTGAACTTGCCATCCTCCTGCCTCAGCCTCCTGAGTCACTGGGATTCCAGGCCTGTGCCTGGAATCRGTTCTCATTAACTTAACTGATAATATTAACTTGAGAGTCTCTTAGTGAAGGTTTGGATCTGCCTAATTTCTCCAATGTTAGAGTTATTATTTTCCATCCATAGTTAATAATTGTCTTGTGGGGAAATATCTTGAAACTATGTAAATATCTTGCTTCTCATTGAATTTTCATATGCACTGATGACACCTACTACAATCCATTACTAYCATGGTAGTAATGGCGGCGTCTGGATGGACTTTTTTTTTTGCAGGKGGAAGGCCCAGGGATGGAACGCAGGGACACTCGGCCATTGAGCCTCATCCCCAGCCCTATTTTGTATTTTATTAGAGACAGGGTCTCGCTGAGTTTCTTAGCACCTCACTTTTGCTAAGGTTAGCTTTGAGCTCGTGAACCTGCTGTCTCGGCCTCCAGAGCCACTGGGATTACAGGMGTGCACCACCGCACCCGGCTCGGATGGCCATTTTCCAATGCCATTATACCTTCTGTTTGAGAAGGTTCCCTTTTCCCCTTGGTTTGTTTACATATTTACATCAGTATGGACTCACAGATTCTCATCTTATTCAATAGGTTATAAGTCACTATTTCCACTACTTATTTTTTGTTTTTTGTTTTTTAAATTTTCAGATTTTTCCATGACAGCAGTTAATTAATTAATTAATTTTTTTGAGAGAGAGTTTTTAATATTTATTTTTTAGTTCTCGGCGGACACAACATCTTTGTTTGTATGTGGTTCTGAGGATGGAACCCRGGCCGCAYGCATGCCAGGTGAGCGTGCTACCGCTTGAGCCTCATCCCCAGCCCAGGAAGAAGTTTTTAACTACAACGTTACATGATACCCCTTGACCAGAAAATGAACCACACCCGTGGGAAGCAGTCCCTTCAGGGTCCATAATGAAGCCCTGACTGTCCTGCTCCTCCAGGCCAGGACTCTAGGTAGCAAGGCTCTAGGTAGCACGGGGACCACGGGTACTGTGCAGGTCCGCGGATCACTCACTAGTTGAGCACCTCTGTGCATCAGGCGTGGCCTCAGTTCTTGAGAAGCTCCGGGGAAAATGGAGGGTGGAAAAGATAGACAAGTCACAATTGCGATGTTTCTAGAACTGAGGACTTTTGTGCCCCGAGAGGCAACCTGAGTGGCTCTCTTAGCTGTGCAAGCAGAGGGCAGTGAGCAATTGGTTTGGGGTGTTATTTTGAGTCCTAGAGAAAGCTGGCTCAACATCTGGTCACTTAGGAAGTGAGTGGGTCAACCGCATGGGAAACCTCTGGGAGGTAAGGGACAGATGTCACAGTGCCAGGGAGACCAAGGCTGGGAGGCAGGAAAGCCTAACAAGGACCTTGAAGTCTAGTTACACTTGTCAAGGGAGAGAGCCTTGAGGTCCTACACCCTGTGCGGTAGAATAAGATCCCAGAGCCCAGGCTGCTGGAGTGACAGCCTCCCGGCAGTGAGAAGTCACAGCAGAGGCAGAGGGGAATGAACGGTCTGCAAGCCTCCTCCCTGTTGCCTCCGAAATCTCGGCATGAGGGGGACTCCCAGCCACTACACCCACTACTCACGGACGCTGCCCTCCTTGCCCATTAGGTGTACCTCCAGAATATCTGGACCAGAAGTCAGTCAGACCCGGATGCAAATTCCAGTTCTTGTACTTCCTGGCCGAGTGACTTTAGAACGTCTCACCAGGTTGACCAAAGTGCCCAGTGTCAAGGTTTCCACACATTTAGTCCTTCAACATGCATTTAGTGTGGCCCTCCTTTCCCAGAAACTGCACATGCTGTAGTGATAAGATCGTCAGGATCCTGCCTTCATTCCATTCTGGTTGGAGAAGACAGGCTAAAGGGTTAGCAAACACATAGACTAACACCCTAGAGAGACACTAAACTAACACTAGAAGACTCCTTTAACCAAGGACGGGAAGTCCTCTCTAAAATGGTGACATCTAAGCTGACCTGCAAGATGAGAAAAAGCCAGGCAAGTAAACAGACAAGGACACAGCCCATGAAGAGAGCCTGTGGCAAGAATGAGCTTGGTGCTTTGGGGGAACAGGCCATATGGTGTGGACAGGTTGGGTAGAGGCCAGATGGGCAGTGCTCTATAAACCTCCTGCCTTAGCCTCCCAAATAGCTGGGACTCCAGGTGTCATGCTGCCCTGTGACATTGATTGGTACATGAAAGCCCTTAGGGATTAAAGAAAGGGCTGGGGACATTGCTCAGTGATACAATGCTTGCTTCACATGCACAAGGCCCTGAGTTCCACTCCCAGAAGAAGGAAAGTAGGGACAGGGAGATGGCTTGAAGCGTTTCTATGGGGACTGTTGGAGGTAGAGCTAGTCTGACTTAGGATTTGGAGAAAGAGGGATGGACAAGACTTGAGCACTGAAGMGGGTGTGACCCGGGAAGTCGGAGGCAGGGCTGACCATCAGGAGTTGAATTTGGGTCGAGTCATGTTTGCAGTCCCTATCTGACACCCACGTGGAAGCGTGGAATGAATGGGCACCTGGCTGCGAGTTTGGGACTCAAAGAAGGTGTTGGAACTCTGGAAACACAAATCTGGGAGTCAGGCACACAAGTTACCTTTGCAGCCACGGGACTGGATGATATCATCCAGGCAGAGGGTGTAGTTCGAAAGAAAGAGGCCGGGACCGTCGACTGTAAAATGAAGCAAACGACACCTCCACCCACGAGTCTCTCCGGAGGTGTCACATGAACGTATCCCTGGGTCCTGGGAACAAGGGCCCAGAACCCAGGCAGCGCCGGGACCGCGGCGGCCCCAGGGGCGGGGCCGGCGGGGCGGGGCCAAGGCTCTCGGCGGCCTCTCCGGGGCCCGGGGGCSGCTTGGCGGTGACGTCACCGCATGACTGGGTTTTTATGAATGAAAGGAATCCTGTGAGTGAGTAATTCCGGGAAGCTGGCTTTACAACTCCGCGCGCCCCGGCCCCCTGCGCCGCCCGCTCCACAACAAAACTCGGCTCGGCGCTCCCTGGAGCTCGGCTCGGAGCGCCCCGCGGTTCTGGCCGGAGGGGAGACGGACCCGGGCGCGGGCCGGGACAGCCGCGGGGACAGCAGCGAGACGCGCGCGTGCGGAGGGCGCCAGGCCTAGCGGGCCGAGAGGCGGGTGAGAGACGCGGGTCGGGGACRGCGCGCAGGACCCTGGGGCGGCAGGGCTCCTGCGCCCCGGGGTGGTGCCGGGCGCGGGCGCCGGGGCCCGCTCCGTCGGTGGCCCTGAGTATCCCTCGCCGGGTCGGCGCGGGGGAAAAGGAGACCGAAGTCTGGGGACACCTAGACGCGGCCGAAGCCAGCTGGGCGGGGTGCGGTGGAGACGGGCCCCTTCCCCGGCGCCGGCCCGGTCGGCGGAGCGGGAGGAAGGGGCCGCGCAGGCCGGCGGGGGCGGGGGCGGGGGCGGTGTGCTCGTACGTGACTCSCCGGGAACAGTCCCTGGCCCGGCGCCCGCGGGCGGTGTGTGCGCGGTTTGTTTACGTCCGAGGGCGGCGGGCGTGCGAGTGTCCCCTGGCAGGCGTCCCGGGTCTCCTGCCCGGCGAGTGCGTGCGCGGTCTACTCGGGGTGTGTGCGCGTGTCCGCGAGTGCGCTCCCCGGAGCCAGATGCTAGCGGTGAGTGCCCAGGAGCGGGTGCGTCCCACGGTGACGTCCCACGGTGACCACTGGAGTAAACCGAATAGGGTCACGAGCGAAGGAAGCGGCCCGGTCACAGGGTCTGGGAATTCTCGCCGGGCCACCCCGTTGCCATCAGCCCGCACGGCCCGGCCCCTGCCCTCCGCAGAGTTTCCCAGGGCCGCAGCCATGTGACTCCAGTGTTTGTCCTCCGCCCAGCGCCGGCGCCTGCAGCCACAGGGTGGGGCGGAGGTATCAAACYCCCGCCCAGTTGAGCAGGGGGTGAGGCGAGAGCGACCTGCAGCAGAGTGGGTTGGAGCCCAGGTCCTTGATCGCAGGTTTTCGGGCTCCCTGGGGAGGGCGGACCCTTGGGGACTTTGTACACCTCTGGACTGCCCATCCCCTCAGTCTCAGGAAGAACAAGAAGGGCCAAAAAACTCACAGAAAGATGGGGATAGGGAAGGATCTGGCTCGTTGGGATCTGGTGGCTGTACCTGCTGGGTCGTGGAGGATAGGGCGGAGCTAGTCCACTCCACGTAGTTTCAATTCAAGGTGGGACTAGTTAGACTGGGCTCCTGCGTGAACTGTCAGATCCCAGAGGCTACTTAAGGACCTGGGCCAGCTGGTAGACCTGGAGTGTCCCTCCACCCGCCCCGCCGCCCCTCTGGCCTGTAGGATCAGCAGGCAGTAGGCATAGGTGTTGTTCCTCTTGAAGGGTTGRTGGGAGGGGTGGAGCCGATCTAGCCCCACCCACCCACCATCCCGGCCCAAAGCACCTGCCCGTTTTGTTCTGCAGCCTCAGGATGGGCTGGGCTAAGGCGCCCTCTGACCTAATGTGCCTTCCTGCGCCCCCCACCCCCCGGGTCTATGGCATCACGGGGGGGGGGGGCAATTGAGTTTGCTCTTTGCTGGGGTGATCTAATTTTGAATCTTTGAGCCCTGGTGAGCTCTGATACCACATCTGGCGRCTGTGTTCCCCTCTCCCCTTGTGTCCCTACCTGCAGCAGGAACTAAGCAATTCCCCAGTGGCAGGGCAGGAACGGGCAATCTGGAATAGTTTCCACACACAGCCTATTTTCCTGGGCAACTGTAGGAGAGAGAACAGAGCCAAGCCCCAGGCCATGGGGGTGTCCAGGAGCATGTGAGGTGTGAGTAGGGGGCTTGCAGCCAGGAACACAGGAACCAGGCAGGCCCATCTCCAGGGCTCAGGGCCAGGGGATGAGGGCAGTGGCTGGTTTGCTCAGTCATAGATAGAAAGTTAGTATTGAAAGGTTCATTCTCCCCTCCAGTCATCCTGGGAACCCACTAGGGCCTAGGACCCAACCTGGGTCCCTCACTGATGCTTTTAGTCCTGTACTGCCCCGGAGCCCTATGGTGGGCCGAGTGCTGGGAAATGACAAACCAGATCCAGAGACACCCCCCCCACACACACACCCCTGGAGCTTACAGCCAAGCCCAGGAAACAGCACTGAAGGAAGAGCCACAAAACTGTACGCAAAGCCACAGCTGAGATGGGCAGTGGGCAGTATGGTGTGCACAGACGTCACTCTGGCTTGAAAGTATCTAACAGGATTCTGATTTAGCCAGGCAATCCAGGCAGGTTTCCCAGGGGAGGTGACTAGTCACAGAGCCTGGTGGAGCCGTAACTGTCTGTGAAGCCCTTGAGGGCAAGGGCTTGATTCCTCTGGCCCAGAGCCCAACACAGAGCCTGTCATACAACAGGTGCTTCTTGGATGTTTACTGATTGAATAATCGAGCACCCGGTTCATGTCCTTGAAGAATTCCATGACACATGGAGAAAAAGGCCTGAGAACCCAGGGAAACAGAAAATCAGGGCATAGGCTGTGGGACTCTTTTTTTTTTTTAATATTGGGGATTGAACTCAGGGGYACTGGACCACTGAGCCACATCCCCAACCCTATTTTGTATTTTATTTAGAGACAGGGTCTCACCGAGTCTCTTAACACCTTGCTTTTGCTGAGGCTGGCTTYGAACCCGAGATCCTCCTGCCTCAGCCTCCCAAGCTGCTGGGATYACAGGTGTGCGCCACTGTGCCCAGCTAGGCTGTGGGCAGCCTCCCCAAGTGAGCAGATCCTGTAGAGTTCAAGTCACTTTGTTCTACACACACAGTCCCTTTGTCCCTTTTGGGAGACAGTAATTGGGGAGGTCTGCTGCTTGCTGTTCCTTCCTTGTTAGCCTGATCCTGGGAGGGAGTGGAGGAGATGTGTTGAGGCCCCAGGAACCCCCGTGGGCTGGGGGAGAGGCTGGTAGTGCCAGTCTTTAAACATGCCAGTCRTGGCCAGGTTTGTAGTCTGGGGTCCATGATGACCCTTCTGAGCTCTCTTGGGGCTGGAGATGAAGGGTGGCAAGACTCAAGGCCAAGGCTGTGGTCCTGGTCCAGCTGAAAGGGCCCGTAGCCAGGCTGTGCAGGTGGAGCAGGATGACCAAGGCTGAGATGGCATTTGTGTCTGGTGCCTCTGCCCCCAGGATGCCCTCACTGATTCCCTCCCCTCCTCCAAGGCCCCCTTTCTGCTGAGGGTCTGGGAGCTGCATTCTGGGCTAGAATCTCTAACCTCAGAGATGGTTCTTGTAGGAGGTGCCCTAAGCTTGGGAAGTTAGGCACGTTGGGGACCTGAGGCCCAGAGAGATGGGGTGACACACCTGACGCCGCACAGCGAGAGAGTGGGCTGCGCAGCTGGGGCGTCTCCCCAGTCCGCTGCCTCCCTGTCCTGCCTGTTCTCCGCCCCGTCCTTTCCAGCAGGGAGGAGGCTACACAGCGCGCTGCCAAGAACCAGGAAAACACATTTTTTCCCTCTGTCCTCACACAGCAAGCAAGAGGGGTCAGCAGCCAGGGCGGAGCCTGTGCCAGTGGGTGGGCCTGTCTATAGGGTGTCTCTGGAGTGGCCTGGGGGCCAGGCTGGGTGTGTGGGAGGGTTCATGGCCTCCGCCTGGGCAGCCGGGGACCAGGAGTCAGCTCACCGCGTGGAGCGCCCAAGAGTGTTGGGAAGCCAGACCTGGAGGTCCGCTCTGCTGTCTCCCTCAGAGAAGAGCAGCAGCTGGGCAGGGCCGGGCCAGGCCAGCCAGCCTGASGGAGGTGGAGGACAGTCCTAGGAGTCCCGGCCTGGGCCTTGAAGTTGAAAGCCCAGGGCCGTTGGAAAGCTCCCGGTTCTTGTGACTTTGCCTCGGCAGCTGCCTGACTTCTGAGCCAGGACATCCCTGGGCAAACAGGGTGCCCCAGCTCTCAGCAAGATGCGGTCAGGGGCTGGGGCAAGGCAGGAGGGAGTGGGGGAGAGGAGGGAGGAACCCGCTGAGAGTCTTCAGAGCGCAGCTGGCTTCGGTGGCTTCCAGGAGAGGGGACCAGGAGAGGGGACAGCCTGGGCTTCCTCTGGGGGGCTGTGTTGGGAAGGATTCTGAGGCTGTGTCCGTGCTCAGTGTTGAGAGAGGGTCGGGGGCTGAGTCTCACCTCCCTGGGGAAGTGCTGTGATTAGGCCATGGCGTCCCTGGAGCTGGGAGCAGAGAGAAGGGGAGGTGATGCGGATGAGCCAACTGTGCGCAGCCGCGATCTCCTCTAAGCTGCAACTCCCGAACTTTACAGATGGGGAGACCAGCTCCCAGAGAAGAAGTGACCGAGTGAGGGGCCAGGCTATGCAACCCAGGTTCTGTGCTAGGCACAGCACCCAATACTCAGCACCAGCACCCAGCACCTAGCAGGCTGAGTTACCTGCGCCAGAAAAGGCTTTCCCTCTCCCCCTGGGTCTCCGTGTGGCCCAGACAGCACTCAACACACCAGTTCCCCAAACAGCCGGTGGCGAGGGCCCTGGATACTTGAGGACAGGCCTAACCCAAATCCTGGCGTTCCAGAGCTGAGGGGCCTGGAGTGTCAAGTGCACTTCCTCTGTGGGGGTAAACAGGACCCCGGGAAAGGGCTCTGCCAGGGTCACACTGTGAGGAGGCAGGTGGCCCCTGGTGGCCTCCTCAGGGTGGGCTACTCCAGAGGCAACTTCACAGAGCTGTCAGGAAGGCCAGGGATGGAGTGGTGGGAAGGGATTAGGATTCAGTCCTGGGCTTCTAGGGCTTTGGAATTCCTCTCTCTTTGCAGGAAGGCAGCCACTCACCTGCTGTGTGACTTCAGGCAAATGATGGGTCTCTATCTCCTGTGGGCCAAAATGGGCGTGGGGTGGGGGCAAATGGCCTGTAAGCCTTTCCTGCAGCTCCCTGAGTGACTCTGGCCAGCGGGGAGGCGCTGAATCAGAGCGGGACCCCAGTGCTGGCTGCAGGCCTGAACCCCCCTCCTCCGGGACGGTCACTGACCTCTGCAGTTATACCACTTGCTTCCACCAAAACCCCATGAGGCAGGTATGGTGCTGTTCCTACCGATGGGAAAGTGGAGACCCAGAGAGGCTGAGCAGCTCACCTGAGGTCACACAGCCTGGAGAACACAGGGATGGGACGGAAACCGGGCTAGCCTCTGACCACGCCACTTTCTCTGTTTCCCTCACCCTCTGCGGACCCAGCTGCACAGAGATGGGGTCCCTACTGCTCCCCTCCTGTTCTCCTGGCATCTGTAACCTCTTCACCATGGGAGCAAGGAGGCAGAGGGAAACAGAAAGAGCTGGAGACCAGGCTGGGGGCTTCCTCTGCACTAGGCTTGACCTTGGAACTGGGTTTGGACACTGACCAGCTGGGCGACTGCATCAGAGACTACCCAGCCCCTCCCAGTGCCGGCTCCTGCCCTGCAGGGCCCTGCGCTGGGTGGCCTTAAACCCCCAGGGCTGACCCAGCTCATTGATGGAAAGGAAAGCCACTGTTATGACCCTGGGACCGCGGCTGTGGTGGGGAGGGCGAGGGCTCAGGAGGGCTTCCTGGAGGAGAGGTCTGTGCCCAGGGCCGATGGATGAGCAGGAGTCTGGTGGGAGAAGTGGAGAGGAGGGAACAGCGGAAAGTGTCACGAGGTAGGGGACAGCCCAGAGGCATGAACTGGGGGTGGGAGGAAGTGAAAGAAATTCCTCCTGTCTGGAATGCAGAACGGAGCCCTGTGGTGGGAAAGGGCCAGGGCTGGGCACGCAGGTCCTGGGGTGCTGCGCGGGTGGCCTGGACTGTGTCCTCAGGATCGGAGGGAGCCATGGGAGTGGCTTAGATTCACCTGGTGGAAAGACCCTCCAGTCGCCGTGGGGAGGGGGCACTGAGGCCGACGGCAAGGCATGCTGGACTCCCCGGGTGTGCGGCAGGGGCAGCGCCCTTTCAAGAGGCTGTGTGGCCGGTGGGACTGGTGCGAGTGGTGTGTGGACATCTACAGGTAGCATCCGCTTAGTCAGGAGGCTGGCACGTTCCATGTGATTTGTCCAGACCGGATGGGTGGGCAGGGCGTCGAGGTCCCCAGGGACAGCTGAAGGGGCAGCCAGGGCCCATGTCCCATCGTGGCTGGAGGGCCAGGCAGGGAACCGGGCCAGAGCCCAGGCTGAGCCTGCATTTAGCAATGTGCGCTGCAGCTCAGGGGTCCACCCTGCGAAGTGGGCCTTACCCCTGCCCCCACCAGGATCTGTGAGGAAGTCCGGGGCTGCCCAGGGCCTTCTCTCGGTTGTTAGAAGAACACGAGGCTTTCAGGCCCGCAGGGAAGGCACTGGGGGCCCATGCCCCTCACAGTCCATCTGCCCAGGGACAAGCGGAGTTAGTGCCCAGCAGCCCCAGGCAGTTGGGGAAGTTGTGTAAAACTCGGGCCTCGGGTCTCTCAGTACATCCCAGAAGCCTGGTGGCTCTTAAGAGCCTCCCAGCCCCAGGGGCGCAGTGGCTTCTGTGGAGGAACCTCTTGAAATGCCAACTTCCCTTTTCTGTCTGCTCCTTCCCTCTGAGGTGCCAGACCCCTGACTGTGTGGGCCTGCAGGGGCTGGGGGTTCCCAAAAAGCCCTGGACTGTCCCCACCTCAGCCTGAGTCACCCTGAGAATTCAGCCACTAGCACCCCAAGCATGCGCTCTGGCCAAGYGCTCTTCTAAGCCCTGGGGAGTCCACGGGGGCAAGCTCTGTCCCTCTGGGAGCAGACACTCTCGGGGAGGCAGATGCTGAACAAATCCGTAAAATGTTCGTGACTAATAACTACAAATTGAAAAGTGCTACAAACACAGGCAGGGGCGGGAGAAGGGGAGAGAGCTTGCGTGGGTCTCTGCCAGCGCCAGGGGTTGGTTCTACGCTGAGATTTGAAGAGACCTGAGGGGTGGACAGCTCTGCGGTAGCTAGTGGATCCCCATGCCAGGCAGAGCAGGCGCCATGCAGGGGCCCTGGAGCAGCACCTGGGGGCTGGAGGAGCCGCGAGGAGGTGGTCCAGGAGGAACAGAGCCGGGGAGGCCAGTGGCTGGTCASAGGCAACTGTGCAGGGCACATTGGGCAGTTCCTTGTGGCCACTGTGATGACCTGGCTTTACTTCCAGTGAGATGGGAGCCCTGGAAGGGTCCCAAGACTGGCATGAGGTGATCTGATTAACACCCAACTACTCTGTCACCAAGGGGAAAGCAAGCATAGAGAGGGTCACATACCTGCCAGACACATACCTGTCCCCATGGTTGGCAAGGGGACCCTTCCAAAAGGCTCAGGTATGTCTGGTACCAGGTCCGTGCACTTTCCATTTCTCTGATGTGTCCCCAGGAGACCGCTGGACCTTGCCAGGATGTGTCAGAGGCTGGGCTGACCCATGAGGTCTGACCCACAGACAGCTCAAGGATCCAAAGCCTGGACCGTCTTTCGCTTCCCGGGTCTCGCTAAGGACAGTGCCTAGGGTGCTGCACCTCAGATCACAAAACACCTGCCTTTTTCTTTGCTCCTTACCGCGTCCCCTCCCCAGGGGAATTGTCCCGTGAGGAAACTGAGGCTCACACTAAAGCAGAGAGAAGATCAGATCAACAGGGGACAGAGGATCACTTCTTCAAAGGGTCCCCTTGGGGAGGTGGTTCCCTTCTCCAGCCTAAAGTGATGACCACTGACCTCTTGAATGTCCCCTCCATGAAGTTTTTTGGTTTTGTTTCTTGAACTGGGGATTGAACCCAGGAGTGTGTTACCAGTGAGCTACATCCCCAGACCTTTTAATTTTTTTTTTTTTTTTTTTTTGAGGCAGGGAGGGTCTCAGTACTTGCTGAGGCTGGTCTTGAACTGGTGATCCTCTTCCCTCGGCCTCCAGAGGAGGTCTCCTTGCTGGGATTATAGGCGCGCACCACCAGCCTAGCCCTCCATGAGTGCTGTATTCACCTCCATTCCCCAAGGGCCAACCATATGGCTGGCAAACAGTAGCTGATTGACAGGTCGTTGTTAGAACATTCAGGCCCGCAAGGAAGGACGGGGGCTGATGGTCCCTCACCAGCCCAGGGCTGCTACCCCATCTGCCCAGGGACAAGCTGAGTTAGTGCCCAGCTGCCCCCAGGCAGTTGGGGAAGCTTTCCTAAAATACAGGCCTAATGAGGGTGACCTGAGGAGGGGACTGGGATGTCATATCTTGTTGCGGTGCTGGCTGTACTTTGGGAAGTCACTGTACACGTTTTGTGCATGTGTTTTTGGTTTGGGTTTTACTGGGTGGTAGTGGGGGCGGAGTCAGGCCKTGAGCATGCCAGGCAAGCACTCCACCATGGAGCTGCACCCCAGCCCCACCCAAGTTGTTACGAACAGTCTCTCTGTAGGTTATACTTCCATGAAACTTTTTAGAAACATCAAATAGGCATGTCTTAGCTTCTGGGAAGAATGGCCTGTGGGCGGTGCCTATTTATTGAGAGCCCCCTGCATGTCAGTCTTGGAAGTGGGCAGAAGGATGAAGTGATAAGGCAGGTGATGGCCCTATTCTTATGGCCTGAAATTTTGGTGGAAGAGGTGTGGGAGGGAGAGACAAGCCATAAGCCAGAATTGGAACCAAATAGAACTTCACAAAAGATGACTGTTATGAGGCTTGCTAAATGGAGTTAATGATATGACACAATGTGGGGTTTGAGTCTGGATGGTCAGGGAAGATCTCTCAGAGGAGACAGCATTGGGCAAAGACCTGGATGACCAGGAGTCACTAAGGGGAGAGAACAGTAAAGAAAACAGTAAGTGCAAAGGCCCTGAGGCTAGAATGATCTATTTAATTAAGAAGGCTGCACCCTCCTGGTCAGARGAAGGTGTTAGGCTTCAGTTCTCAGGTAGTGAGTTTGGATTTTACTCTAAGTGTGTGTGTGGGAGGACCCCAAAGTGACCTTGACCTCCTCTGTCTCCTAGGTCTGCAGCTCAGAGGGCACCTTCTGCAACCATGTCTGTGGATCCCTTATCCAGCAAAGCCCTGAAGGTGAGGTGTCTGCTCCTGTTGTCCTCTGCCCCCTCTGGGCCCACACAGAGCCTCCACATCCTAACTTCCCCTTCCCTTCCTGGCCTCCCTAAGGGTGGGTGGCTCAGCCGGCATCAGACATTTATGGTGGCCTGGGGCCAGGTCACTTCCCACTCTGGGCCTGCTTCCCCATTCAGAGGTGCTTTCCGGGCTGGGTTCTGGCTGAGTCCAGGACTTGACGCTTGGTTAGATTTCGGCCGAGCCCTGGGGTGGCCTCCTTTCGAGTTCGATCCTGGTTTGGCCTGGTTTCCCCTTCCGGATTCCTGTCCCCTTCAAGGGCCTGGATCAAGTCCAGCCACCGCCTCTGTGGCCAAGGCGGCGACGGAGGAACACGGGGCTGGGGGGGAGTGGGGGAGGAGAGGACCGTCCCCAGCGCGGGTTGCGCGCCAGGCCCGGGACTCGCGACCCACGGGCGGGAGCGGCCGCGGCCTCAGTTTCCCCTGCCCGCAGGTCAAGCGCGAGCTGAGCGAGAACACGCCGCACCTGTCGGACGAGGCGCTGATGGGGCTGTCGGTGCGCGAGCTCAACCGGAACCTGCGCGGGCTCTCGGCCGAGGAGGTGACGCGGCTCAAGCAGCGGCGCCGCACGCTCAAGAACCGCGGCTACGCCGCCAGCTGCCGCGTGAAGCGCGTGTGCCAGAAGGAGGAGCTGCAGAAGCAGAAGTCGGAGCTGGAGCGCGAGGTGGACAAGCTGGCGCGCGAGAACGCCGCCATGCGCCTGGAGCTCGACGCGCTGCGCGGCAAGTGCGAGGCGCTGCAGGGCTTCGCGCGCTCGGTGGCCGCCGCCCGCGGGCCCGCCGCGCTCGTGGCGCCCGCCAGCGTCATCACCATCGTCAAGTCGGCGCCGGGCCCTGGCCCCGCCCCCGGCCCGGACCCCGCCCCCGGCCCGGCCGCCTGCTCCTAGTGCGCGCCCCGCCTCCCCTTCCCGCCACGCCCACCCAAAGCCACGCCCCTCCGACGCGCTCCTCTCCCAAAGTGCCTGAGCGCCTTCTGTCCCCAGGTCCTGTTTTTCTGCGGCCACCTGTCCCTGTGGTGAACACACATTTCCTTCCCAGGCTCTGTCTTCCTCTTGCAGTTCCCCAAACGGGACCTAATGGCCCTGGCGAGGGGCAACTTTGCTAGGTTGCGGGGGCATCCGGGKCCAGGGTCTTCCTTGCTGAAATTCCGCCTTCTTAGGACTGGAGTGAAATCGGGTGAGGAGRGCATGCTCATTGCTCGAAACTGCTCGAATCATGCCAATGTCCAACCTCCCAGGATTCGGGACTAGGTTTGGCYCTGTGAGTGACTTGCCAGGCTGTCCTACTGGGAAGCTGCACTGAAGAGACCTCCCACCTCTGCTTTGGGTCCAGGGCGTGCCGGGCTTCCTAAAGCTAGGAGGGTCATTCGAAATGGTGAGATGGGGCAGCCGTCCAGTGGACAGGACATAGCCAAGGCGACATATCACTTAGTGTCTGAGCTGGAACCAAAAGCTAGGCCTCCTTACTGCTGCCCTAAGATTCCAGCCATGATTTTTGAGGGGACAGTGAACAGGGACTGAAAAAGGTGCCAGGAGGACCTCCCTGGCCTGGAAAGCAGTTCTCTGTAAGGGAGGGAGAGAGAAGCAGAGGGAGAGAGAAGGTGACAGGTGGAAGAGAGGGAGGGAGCCGGCCTGGATCCATGCAAGGCTCTCCTTGCAGCCAGGGTGCCCTGGAGCTGGCGAGTCCAAGAGAAAGGGGAATGGAGGTGACCACTATGGCAGATGCAGAGACCAGGAGACAGATTCACAGTCCCAAAGCCTGGAGTTGGGGTCCTTGGATGTAAGGAACCCCTTCAACCTTTGCATCCTCTGTGGGGTGGGGGCTGGCCACTGCCACTGTTTGCAGTCCTCCTGGAAAGCCCAGCCCCTAACACTGTATWCAGCCACCCCTCCCCACTTTTTATTTATTGCACGAATCTAAGTTATTCTCCCCAGCCAGAGCCCAGCTCTTGCTCCCTGGGAAGAGTGGCATGTGGCCCTGAGCTGGACTTTATATTTTATACCTGCAAATAAATCACATTTTATCTTATATTTAGGGAAAGCCAGGTGGCAATCACAAAAATATGTTTTTTAAAATTGCCCGGCCCCAGAACTTATTTATTTTCTGACTTACAGTGAGCATTGTCTGCCTTCTGTATTTTGTAGACTTTCTGAATAAAGTCAAGATCTCTTTTTCCATTGAGAAGTGTACGTCCTGGCCTGTTTTGTGTGTGTACTGAATAAGCGGCCTGAGGTGGGGTGCTCGGGACCCTTTGGAGGGTGGGAGGGTAAGCCCCCATGGCTAGGTGTTGCTGGCTGATATGGGGCAGGAATAGAGGAGGGCAGTGCCAAAAATTTGTACCTTCCATCTAGAGCCTAGGAGCCTCCTTAGGGTAGTTCAACTCCTGGATTTTAGAGTTATCTTTCCAGCACTTTTATACCAAGGTCTGATTTTCTATGATCAAGTCAGAATTTTTTTCCCCAGTTCCGGAAAGCACAGGGAGGCATGGGGAGAAGTGGCTTCCTCAGTCCCAGCCTACAGGACTAAATCTTACTCCTGGGCCTTATTCCAGGCCCATATTCCCGTCATCCCAATCTGCCAGGCCTCAGAGGCCCCTTGAGGCGGGTGGACGGTGGTTGTGGGGTCAGCGGAATCAGAGTTTGACTCCAGGGTCTCTTTTCCTTACTGTGGAACTTGTGGTGCTTMATTGGGTTTCTTGTAGCCTCGGCTTATCCACCTACAAAGTGGAGGTGCTATCAGAAGATAGGCAGGAAAGGCTGGGGCTTGAAGGCCAGGAGCTGCAGGTGTTCTCGGTCACACAGGGCCTGGGTAAGGACCCTGTGTGTGGCTGGGTAGGGAGATGGTGGGGCTGGGGAAGCTGCCGAGTGTGGGAAAGGGCCAGACCACAAGGGCTTAACTGGGCCTGCGGAGCTCTCTTCCCCTCAGGCTGGGGCTCTGGTGGGTCCTAGATGTGTGAAATGCTGAGCACAGGCCTGGGGAATGGGCAGCAGGAAGCCCTGGGAGGGACCAGTGGCTGTTACCTCGAGGTTACAGCCTGGCTGGGAATTTCCCCCACCCAGGCTGCATTCCTGAGAGCTCCTGTCAGCAGGAGGCTGGGCCCCAGCAAGGAATGAGGGTGGAGGGAAGGTGCCTGTGGCCTAGGACCCCTKCCCCAACTTCCTGGCCCCAGGGTCCCAGGGTAGAGGCAAAGGGGAGCTTGGTATTCTGGAGGATCCCTGGAAGTCCTTGCAGAGGGGCTGCCAGTGACACTGGTTTCCCCCATGGCGCCCAGCCCTTATGACAACAAGAGGCTGAGCTCCTTGTGACGTGCCGGCTGGGGGAGGAGGTGACACTTTGCCCAGTGGGGACCTGGATGCCGATTTCAGTTCCTGGCAATGTGACTCCCCTCCATCACCTAGACATCACACTCAGGAAGGACGAAGTGGACACCCCACCCCCCCCAGGCGGAGGGGGCAGGAAAGAGGCAGGGACAGAAGCTCACCGCAGGCAGGGGGTTTCAGTACAATCTATATTATCTCATATATATATTTCTTCCTCACTTTATTTGCTCACTTCTGTCACGCATTTAAAATGTCACAGAGACCAAAATAGAGCGGCTTTCGGTGGAACTCATGGCAGTCATACRACGATACAAAACTAGGGACTCTGTCTTCTCATWCATCATACAATTAATTTTCAAGTATTTTTATATACAAAGGGCTACTCTATCTGGAAAATAATAATAAAAAAAGACAAGGTAGGTTATGCATCCTAGGAAGAGGAGGGGATGCAGCAGTTGGGAACACTTTCCCCATCCCTGTGTCCCCAGGGACTGCTAGTTCCTGTCACCTGGCTCCCAGCTCTACCCACCACGMTAGAGGACAAGCGTGCCAGAGCAGCCGAGGACAGAGGGGGCAGGAATCAGCAACACGCTTTGGCCTGGAAGGAGGGGCAATGTGTCAAGGAGGCAGACTCGACTGGTGGAGGCAGACTTGTGGAGGCAGATACGGGAGGGAGCCAGCGCCGCTCCTGGGACAGCCTGTGCCTGCCAGCTGCCGCCCACCCAGATGGGAGCCCAGGGCAGGCCTCTGGGCCGCACGGGAAGGAAGGAGGTCAGGAAGGTCGCTGGGATCAGCTATCCTACCTGGACCCTCCCCTAGATCCAGGGGCAGGAGCCTGTTCATTCCAGGAGTGACCAAAAGAGCTTCTGGCAAGTGCCACCAGACAGGGGACCCTGCTCCCTCACTGGATCTAGGCTACTCCACTCCAGACCCAAGTATTGCCTGGGTTTCAAGCAACAGAACGCCCTGCTACACRAACGTGCACTACGCCACGAGGCTCTYCCTAAGACTGGCTGGCAAAAGCCCAGCCTGCCTGGGGACTTCAGCCCTGGATACACAGGTATGGAGGGCAAGGACAGGAACTGGTGGTCCCTRGTCACTCCTAAGGCCTGTTAAGGGCACATGGCCCAGCACTGCAGGRTCCTGAGTGCCAGCAGCTTAGTAAGGAGTCCCCAGGGGGTATCTGGGGCAGATGCAGGCKGAGGAGGGGGCTTTTATATGTGACTAAGGCACAGAAGAGATGGGCTGGGGGCCAGATGAGGCAGAACACCAGGCCCTGTGTGGACAGAGGGCCCTGGAGAGGAGTCTGGGACAYCCTCCACCTCCTGGCTCCCTGCTGCACGGCCATCCCCACTGTCCTCCCCCAGGAGCTGGTCCGAAATGTGGGGMCACAGACCTTTCTCCTGAATGGGAGGGAGAAGCCCAGGGGAGAGGCTCAGCAAAGGCTCTGACTGCTCCGTCTGGGGGAGGACTGGAAGCCCGACTTGTGAACAGCCAGGCAGCTGGCTCTGCCCCAACGCCTTCAAGAGAAGGACCAAGTGAGAGGGCAGTGCAGGCTGCTGGCTGCCCTCAAAGGGCCAGGAGGAGGTGGGCAGAAGGCGGCCTCGGCRAGGACACTGGGGCCCAGAGGCCCCCTGCTTCACCAGAAGGGCTCCGAGGCACCAGAGCACCCTTCCTAGAGGTCCCCTGGTGTCTGGCTCTGATCCTTGCAGCATGCCAGGCAGGCCTGGGTCAGGAGGGACAGCCACAGAATGTCCACGTTCCCTCCTCCTGCCCAGGTTGAGGCAATCTAGCATTGGACAGGGTGGACACAGGGGGAAGTAGGCGGGAGGAGCCTGGGAAGAGCCTTCCCTAGGCAGGGAGGAGCAGGCAGGCAGGGAAGAGCGTGGCGTGGGGCGGGGGGCACAACCTCAGCATGAGCTCCTCCTGCAGGAAGGCCTGGGAGGCTGCAGCCATGGCCCACACACAAGCACTTAGGCCTGGGCATGGCTGGTCCGAGGTGCCTCCGCCACAGGACGGGCAGCAGGGGTATGGGAGCTCTCCCAGTGTCCTCTGCCCTGGCCAGGGCAGGCAAGATTAGCCATGTATAAATATTCCTAAAGGCTCACGGAAGAGCCTGGGATGTCCCCAGACAGAGGGTGTCTGGCTGTTCCTCTGAAAGCGATATGTGTTTCTGGTCCAATAAATAAGGGCAACACCGAAGCTGTGTGGCCACCTGGCCCCGTGGTGAGGCTGGAGGAGGACATGGCCCGCCCTTGGCCAGGTGCGGGTCCCTCCCCGCAGCGCCACACCTAGAACTCGTCGTCAGAGCTGAGCAGGAGGGTCTTCTCGTTGTCGCGGGCTCCACTGAGGCTATGGGAGCGCGAGAGGCTGTGGGCGCTGCTGCGCCAGGTGGGCCCGGGCTCCAGAGTGGACTGCTGCGTGTACTGCTGGTAGGCGGGAGAGAAGTTGTGGATGGCGTCCTGCACGATGTCGTGTGGGTTCATGGTCTCCTTGAGGCTGCTGGAGATGCTCTTCATGGGGGCACAGCGGCCTGAGGGAGGAGGCAGGAGGTAGGGTGAGGGGTGGGCCCCTGCCCTGACCCTGCAACAGACCCCCGACCCAGACTGTCATCCAGTCATTCCCTCTTGAACCAAGAACGGGTCCAAGACATGAGAAAGGACAGGCAAGAAGCAAACTCCGCTGCCCAGAGGGCGGGAGCAGCCAGGGCATCCTGTGGGCTGGCCTCCTGCCAGAGGGCAAAGTGACTCTCCGTTTGGGGAAGCCAGGGCGGGCAGGAAGGGACGCCAATAGAGACTGGCGAGCTGCAGGCATGAGCCTGGAATGCCCCCGGCTCCGTGGTGCCAGGCCCACGCCCTGCCCCGCGAGTGTTSCTCTGTGGGGAGGGGACCAGGCTGGCCGCTGGCTTCCCCCTAGAGAGGATATGCTTCCTCCTAATCCCCTCTAATGATGTGTTCCCTCAGGCTCAGAGGGGAGAAATGGCCCAGGCTACCAGGCACAAGTGAACAACCCAACTCTGGGCCCAGAATCAGACCCCAGTCTCCCCACCCCCMATGTCCTCTGCCATGAACACGGCACTGAAGGCCCTGCTGCCCTAGCAGGGGGCCCTGTGCCCCAGAACCACACGGGGCTTGTTCCAGACAATGGGAGATGAGACAAACGCAGGTGGAGGTGCCTCGGCAGGCAGGTGCTGGGGCTCTCCCACCTTAGGGGTGCCTGCAGGGAGGAGAAGGGGACACAGAGGAGCTACAGAGAGGCATGCTGGTGACAGTGACCAGAAGTGACGTGCAGGACAGACGTGCAGACAAGAGTGGGACCTACCGTAAGGGCCGTATGTTGGCACTGCCCACGGCCAAACCCAGGGCAAATGCAAGGCAAAGGGGCAGGGCGAGAAGCCGGAGGCAGAGAAGACAAGAGAGCTCAGTGAGCACTGCGCCCACCCCAGGCGCTTGGCCTACCCCCACCCGGGCACCTCAGCGGCTCCCACTACCCCACCCCCAAGGCCTGAGGGGACATCTGCCCAGGGATGATTCTTCCTATGGTGCTCACACTCAGAGGTCTCCCCGGCTAGAGGTGTCCCCTGTTCCACCTTTTCTCAGGCTTGGCCAGAGCCACCTCTGCACGGAGTGGCCATTTCTCACACCTCAAGGCTCAGCAGAGCTGGCCTTCACCCTAGGGTGACAGGGGCTGGGCACCTCAGAGGCTGGGCCAGGAGCCTTTGGCCATGGGCCCTGGGCCTAGGCCAGAGGGAGGCAAGCTCGGCCAGTGGCAGCTGTCCCTGGCCTGGCAGTACGGCCAGTCAGGCTACTGCGGCTGGGGTGGGTGTGTCTGAGGGGACAGCGA